AAAAAAAAAAAAAAAGAAATGTTCATTTTAATTGACTCTAGATGTCCCAAAGTTCTATCATTGACTTCTTTTCTGGTCTCTGTTTTCATTGCCATCGATGCCTGTAGGTTTGAAAATTACTAACATCTTAAAGAAAAGGATGAAAAAGCTCTGGAGTCACTTATTAAACTACTACTAAGTCCTTGGTGTTTCTAAAACCATCTCCCTATGTGACAGGCAATGAGATCTGTCTGTTTACTAGTGAGGTGGGCAAGGTTGCAGACCGTCCATCTCTACGTGGTCTCAACGTGTCATTTCTTCCTGCTCTTTCCCCCTTGCCTTTTGCAGATGGACTTGGGTATCCCAGCAATGACCAAGTGCTGTAACCAGCTGGATGTCTGCTATGACACTTGTGGGGCCAACAAATACCGCTGCGATGCAAAATTCCGATGGTGTCTCCACTCCATCTGCTCTGATCTGAAGCGGAGCCTCGGCTTCGTCTCCAACGTGGAAGGTAGGTCTCCTAAGGACACAGGCTGGGATGGGGAGTTCTCCTGTTTCTGAGAGAGGAGTCCAGAGCCCTTCACTCAGAGGCAGAGCTTGGTGAGCTGGCTTTCTGGAAGGCTGAGCTCCAAGCAGGGTAGGTGGAGGCAAGCACTCCTTCACAAAAGTTCTTGCTGTCTTGCCCAGGGACTGCTGGCCCCAATCCTGATGGAAACGACCATACCAGTGCATTTCCAGAGAAATGAGATTCATCATTTACAACTGGAGAAAGTTGTCCAACTGGCTTGAGTTATCCATCCTACTGTTAAATTATTTTCCATACCCAGTGTCTCTCTTGGGTTGCTGAAACCCTTTTATTTTGTTCTCAGTCTGGGAAACCTTTATTTAAGTAGCTCTTCATTTTTTTCTGTGAAGGTTTCTTTAGAATAATTATTTTTAAACACTTAGCTGCTCAGCTTCCAGTACTGACTCTTTTTCCTAATTTCCTTTAGGGAAAGTTTTCATCTCTCAGATTCTGGAGCCAAAATATGATAGGTAGATATTAGCATTTAATTTTTTTTGTTTTTAGTGTTGGGGCTTGAACTCAGGGCCTGGGCACTGTCCCCGAGCTTCTTTTGCTCCAGGCTAGCACTCTACCACTTGAGCCACAGTGCCACTTTGGCTTTTTCTGTTTATGTGGTACTGAGGAATTGAACCTATGGCTTCATGCATGCTAGGCGAGCACTCTATCACTAAGCCCCATTCCCAGCCAGCATTTAATTTTTGAATTGGTGAAGGCTGAACTTCAGGCTGATAAGGAGCTGGCCCTGTGCCACAAGAATACCAGCAGTGGGGGCATCTTAGATTTGGTTCATAGATCAGTGTTTGGAGGATAGTCCTGAAGTGAAGCATGAGACCTTGGGAATATGAGTAATTAATGTGAGAACTATTCCACCCCTGTCTACAGAAGCGGAAAGATCAAATTATTTCTCCCAAGCAATAGCCTATTGATTCTTTCTACTAAATCTCCTAAATACCCCACTTGCCTGGTTTTTTTTTTTTGTTGTGCTAGTACTAGGGCTTGGATTCAGAGCCTTATACTCTCCCTTAGTGTTTTTGCTCAAGGCTGATGCTCTACCATTTAAGCCACATCTCCACTTACAGCTTTTTGGTGGCTAATTGGAGCTAAGAATCTCACAACCTCTTTCTGCCTAGGCTAACTTCAAACCAAACTCCTGAGTAGCTAGGATTATAGGCATGAGCCACTAGCAGCTGGCTTTGCCCGATTATAGCAGTACAGTAACTGAGTCTCTGGGTCCCTCCAATCCATTTTCTCCATTCAGACCAGCTCCATGTTCTTACCATGGGAACCTGGTAGTCTCCACACCCAATCAAAGACATTCAATAATTTAGTTTGACATGCATGCTCTTTCTGTTGCAGCTGCAGGCTGTTCCTTCAGCACCATTTTGGATCTGCTGGAATTCTCTTCTGACTCCCTGCACACTACTTGGGTGAATGGTTCATTCCTTTCGGTCCCTTCAGGTTCCTCTGCTTGAGACATATGGCTCATTCACTTGCTAGTGTTGTTGAAACAAATGTTTAAACTACAATTCACCCATTTAAATGCTTGTTGGATCTGTTCACAGAATTATGCAATCAACTCCACAATCAATTTCAGGATATAGTCGTCCTCCCCAGATGGGACCCCTCCTAAGTCCTCTGCTCAGCTCAAGGCAACCACAAATGTACTTTCTACCTCTGTAGTTTGCCCATGGTGCACACTGCATACAAATGGAGTCCTATTATGTGTTCCTCTGTGAACAATTACTTTCACTTAGCAAGGTTTGTCTATACTGTACAATGTATCCATGTTTCATTCTTTTTTTGGTTCCTTCTAAAATTTATATTGTTGTTACTCTCCTAATTAGGTCTATGATCCACTTTGGGTTAACATTTGTATATAAGAAAGGGATCCAACTTCATTCTTTTCCATATTGATACTCAGGTGTTTACATACCATTTGTTGAAGAGACTATTCTTTTGTACTCTGTCAAAAATCAGTTGACCATAAACGTAAGCATTTAGTTCTGGACGTTAAATTTTATTTCATTGATCTATGCCAGTAGATGCAATCTTTATTATTATAATTTATAATTATTATACAATCTTTATTATAATTTTGTAGTAAAATTTGAAATCAAGGAACCAGAATCTTGTTCTTTGTCAAGTTCATTTTGAACGCGTTTCTATTAAATTTTGGCATAAGTTGATTTCTGCAAGAAAGGACAGTTGTGATTTTGATAGAACTTTTCTTAATGCTGCAGCTCAATTTGAAGACTACTGCCCCTTCGTTTGTGACCAGTGAACAAAATTCTGAATGTCTTCATCTCTTTTTAGGTCTTCCTTAACTTCTTTAATGTTTTATAGCACAAATCTTATAGTTTTAAGCTTACTCTGTTTTATCGTTTTTATTTTTTAAATTTATTTTTCTTGTCAGTGCTGGGGCTTGGACTCAGGGCCTCGGCACTGTCCCTGAGCTTTTTTTGCTCAAGGCTAGCATGGTACCTCACTTGAGCCACAACACCACTTCCACTTTTTTTCTGTTTACGTGCTACTGAGGAATCAAACTGAGGGTTTCATGCATGCTGGGCAAGCACATCCCCAGTCCATGTTTTATTCTTTTTAATGCTATTGTAAATGGAATTGTTTTCTTGATTTTTATGGTCATGTCAGTTGTTGATAACTGATAAACATTACTGATACAATTGATTGATTATATATTGATTTTATTCTCAGCTGAGTCCATTTAATATTTCCTCTAAGATATATTCCTGAGAACGCTTACCTCAAGGGACAGTGATCCTTTCTGTGGGTATCCACACCACCTTGTGTTCTCTTTCATCATGGTGTGGTACAACTATCTGTTGACCTGTCCATCCTGACTACCTCTTAGTCAAAACTCTGAGATCCCTGACTTGGAGATGATCTCTTTTCCTTCTGTGTCTCTGATATTTAAGATAGTAACAACCAAAAATGATTTACATCTCACACAGGGAAAGATCTAGGAAACACAACAGTGTTCACAGTGTTCTCTAAGGAGAATTCTATATAATGGTATGGGAGGGTCAGATGATTTTGAACAGGGGTCCAGGAAAAAAAGGGCATCTTATAGTATACTCTATTAAATTGGATAGGAACTTATCTGAAAACACTTTTATTATTTAGTTGGGCATTGGTGGCTCATACCTATAAGCCTAGCTACTCAGGAGGCTAAAGATCTGAGGATCATAGTTCAAAGCTAGCCAAGGCAGGAAAGTCCATGAGACTCTTATCTCCAATTAAGCACCAAAATATAACTGGAAGTAGAGCTATGGTTCAAGTGGTAGAGCACTGGCCTTGATCACAAAATGCCCAGGCCCTGTGTTCAAGCTCCAGGACAGGCACAAGTTTTTTTTTTTAAAAAAAAGCAGGAAAGTCTATGAGACTCTTACCTTCAATTATATTAACCACAAAAGAAAGAAAGAAAAGAAAAAAAGAAAGTGAAAGAAAGGAAGGAAGAAAGGCAGAAAGGAAGGATGAAAGAAAGAGAAAGGAAGGAAGGAAATGAAGGAAAGAAGGAAAGAAAGAAATGCAGCTATGGCTTAAGGGGTAGAGTGCCAGCCTTGAGCAAAAACAACATCCAGGCCCTGAGTTCAACCCTCAGTATTGGCACCAAAAAATAAAAGCAGGCCTTTTCTTTTAAATCTGTATTCAGATGAAAGTCTTGCCCTTCCCTGAGTATCATGTCATCCTTGGAAATACACGATCTTGTCCTGTTCTACCCTGGCATGGCCCTCCCTGCTAACCCTTGTGCTTCTTTGTCTTTCTCAAGCAGCCTGTGATTCTCTGGCTGACACTGTGTTCAATACTGTATGGACCTTGGGCTGCCGGCCCTTCATGAACAGTCAACGGGCAGCTTGCATTTGTGCAGAAGAGGAAAAAGAAGAGTTATGAGGCCCAAGTGGCTCTTCCTGGCTTGAGTGACCCACTGCTGTGGTCTCAGTGGCAGGAGCACGGCATATGTGTGTCATCCCTCCTTCCAACAGTTTGGATCCTACAAAGCAAGAGAAAGGAAACAAGTTCTATCCTTGGAGAGAAGTTGAGCAAATGACATGGAAAGATGGAAGGTTGTTCTTCATTTCAACACTGGACTTCCTGACCAAGACACTTTTGCCTGGCAATCCTATTTTCAGCTTAAAGACTAATGACAGCAAACCCTACGATTCCAGGAATGGGTTATTATAAGCAAAATTTGGGGGAGTCCAACCATTTGGAAGACAATGACTTTCCTCTAGACCATGTTTCAGTTGCCAGTAATCACCTCACATTTAATAAAGCGTGCTTTTTAGAAAACTTGGAAAGAGATGAATGAATTCCTTTATTCACTTAGAAGAGCAGAACCCAAACTGGTAAGTTCCACCCATTCCCATTGGGGCTGAAGAAGTAAAGGCAGGTGGGTGGGGTCAGAGGCTTACCTGCTGAAGGTCAGTGGAGGAGTGGAGGTGAGGTGGAATCAGGCCTCTCAGCTTCCATTTCTTCCTCTGGTGGCCTGGCCCTGGTGGTAGGGCCAGATACTCAGTGGTGTTAAGGTCAGGCTGGGATCTGAGAAAAGCTCCCTGAGACTATGGGAGGGAGAGCCTGACACCTTTCACCTGAGTGGTGACTCAGCCCACTGTAGATTAGGATCACCTGAGTGAGTGAGGAATTCTTGGGCTCAAGCCTATGCACGACTAGTTGATAAATGCTCCCCAGGTGATCCTGATGCCAGGGGCGGGCAGAAGGCCACCACTTAGATGAGAGATTGGTCAGCCAAGTCCCCTGGGACAATTCCAGTTCAAAGCCAGTTTTTGTGCAGCTTTTCAGAGCACAGCCATATGCTATACTTGTCTTTAGCTGTTCTTGCTCTGTGCCATTCGTCATGTCACAAAGACTGCATGGAAGGAGGGGCACAGAAATGGAGGAACAAAGGGTGAACAAATGCAGCAGTGGTACTCACTAGACACTGGGGAAAATGGACTAGACAACTTATGGGTGGGGATGGGAGGAAAAAACAGGGAGAAAATGAAGAAAGAGGTAACATTGTCCAAAAAGAAATGTACTCATTACCTGACTTATAAACTATCATTCCTCTGTATATCACCTTTATAATAACAAAAAATAATTTTTTAAAAGAAAGACTACAAGGCCCAGAGGAGCCTGAACTTCTTATCACATGGCCCCATTTTAGAAACAGGCTGCTGACTTCTGGCCTCAGTCATTCCTTTGCTTCCTCTTACTAATTTTACTACTTCCACTTTTAAAAAGAAAAAGTTTCTGATCTTATGTAAAGCCAACACATGAATCGGTACATCAAGAAATTGGAGCTGGAAGTGGATGGCTCACATCTGTATCCTAGCCATTCAGGATACTGAGGTCTGATAACCATGCTTCGAAGCCAGTCTGGGCAAGAAAGTCTGTGAGACTCTTATCTCCAATTAACCATCAAAAAGCAGAAAGTGGATTTGTGACTCAAGTGGTAATGTACTAGCCTTGAGCATGAAAGTTCAGGGATATTGCTTATGCAATGAGTTCAAGCCCCAAGATACACAAACACACACACACACACAATTGGATTCAACTTCAGATAACATTGATTCTTGTGGCTTATGTTTATTTTAATAAAATTTACTAAGCACCTGTGAAATAGAGTACATTATAATTTTATGCCTTGTTCTATTGTCTTGCTGACCTGAAGGTACTGATTACTGATTCATAGGGCATATGGGAGCATCCTTTGCTTATAGTTAAATCACTGAACCGCTTAAATGCTTCTTGATGAGCTTATTAATATTTATTAAGTGAAAATATTTCACTTAAGGCTATAAGAAAACCTCTGAAGAAAGCATTATACAAGAGGAAAGCCAAATGGTAGTTTATTATTATACAGCTTTTTATTAATAAACTTCCAAATCTCTTATAACTATGGTGAATTTGAATTGAAATTTCAGGGTATAAATAACATTTACATGATTCAGGAGCCATTGGGTATTTGAGTTCTAATTTAAGTAGCAATTTAAATTTTGTTGTTTTTTAGGTTTCTAACTTGAAACATCATATCCACCGTCTAACTTTGAAAGTCTTTTTGCATCATTCACAGACTATTTAATGTAGAAATAAGTGGAGAAGTGGAGGAGCCTGTGGCGACCCCTTGACTGTGCACTAGAGGAAACTGACGTCCTATCTAGGCTAGTTTGCCAGTGTTTGCCCAGTGAGGGACCAGCAGCCATCAATGGGTTCTAGGAGTTTGTCTAACCTTACACTGCTTGGTTTAAGGAAGTTAGGTGTTCTAGAAGGTTCTCTGGTGCTTTAGGGAGTCTGGGGAGAAGGACTAGCCTGCAGCAGGGTCTAGTCTTCCCAGTCGATGCTGATGGGGCCTCCACTCAGTGTCTGACGCTGCAGCCTGGCCCAGTCTTCAGCAGGCCCTGCTTCACGTCGCAAGCGCCGGTGGCAGCCCTGGGCACAGCGGGATTGCTCGTCCAGCATCCTGCAGACCAGGACCTGGCAGTGCAGAAACACCTCCTGGAAAGAGGGTAGTGATCCTTAGTACAAACAAGGGGCCTGCTGCCGCCATGGGTCACCATGACGGCAGATACAGGACACTGTCACACATTCACTCACTCCAAAGAGCAATCATGAGGCGGGTGCTTCATCCCACCTTACAGATGGGGAAACTGAGACACATAGGGTAGGCTATACACTGGGTTGGGACAAGAGCTGGGAATAACAGGGGGTCCTGTAGGACAAGTCCTTTCTTGTTTTTTTTTGGGGGGGGGTTGGTTTGGTCATGGGGCCTGAACTCTGGGCCTGGGCACTGTCCTACAGCGCCACTTCCGGCTTTTTTTCTTTTTGCTTATGTGGCACTGAGGAATCGAACCCAGGGCCTCAGGCATGCAAGGCAAGCGCTCTACCACTGAGCCACCTTCCCAGCCCCAGGACAAGTCCTTTTTAGAAAGAGCAGCCTCAGGCTTCTTCTAGAGAGGCTAATGACAGTCATGCTTGTCAGCAGCTGGTCTGTGAAAGTGGCATGCTGCACGGGACACACACACAAAGGCAGGGTAAGAAAGATGTCTGCCTCTTAAACTTCCTTTGTTCCAAATGACTCACAACTGTGACAAGGACAACCAAACTTGCACCTTGTCACTGTGGCCCTCCCTGCACAGCCTCATAGCCTTTATCCAAGGAGATAGCAGTGGATTTTTAATGCATGTTTTATATGCACATACATTGTTATGATGGTTTTAACTATTGTAACGGGCTTTTTTCTTTCCCATGTTTATCTGCTTGATAGTGCATCAAATTAGTATGTTATATGGACTCCTTAGGTCTATTAGTTTGGGTTTTTTTTTCATGGCCTCCTTAAGACAACACAACATACATATCCACTTTTTTTTTTTTTTGGGGTCCGGTCATGGGGCCTGAACTCTGGGCCTGGGCGCTGTCCCTCAGCTCTTCAGCTCAAGGCTAGCACTCTACCACTTGAGCTATAGCGCCACTTCCGGCTTTTTTTCTTTTTGCTTATGTGGTGCTGGGGAATCGAACCCAGGGCCTCAGGCATGCAAGGCAAGCGCTCTACCACTGAGCCACCTTCCCAGCCCCATATCCACTTTTTTTAAACTTTGTTTTTGAGAAACTTATAGGATTGGAATTAGTAGATAAGAGAATTCATGACTTAATGCCTATTATTAGATAATGATTTATTAGATATTGTCATGTAGCTTTCTAGAAAGTGTGTCGATTTACACAGATATTGTAAGCTTCTCTTTAGAATCTTGAAAACATTGCAATTCATAATTTTTCTCAATTTAATATGCAAAAAGTGGTATCTTACAATTGGTTTTTGTTGTTATTGTTGTTGGTTGTGGGGCTTGAATTCTGGGACTTGAATTCTGAGCTCTTCAGCTGAAGGCTAGCACTCTACCATTTGAGCCACAGCACCACTTTGGGTTTTCTGGTGGTTTATTGGAGGTAAGAGTCTCACGGACTTTTCTGCCTGGGCTGGATTTGAACTGCAATCCTCAGATCTCAGCCTTCTGAGTAGTTAGGATTACAGGCATGAGCTATCAGCGCACCACTACAATTGGCATTTTAAAGCCAATTTTCTCTTCCCATTTCATTATTTGTCTTTTCTGTTCATTTCTTGTCTATGTAACTGACTGCCCCACTGGCTTTTCTCCCTCGTTTCCTTCTTTCTCCTCCTTCCCTCCCTTTCTCCCTACCTCTTTTCCTTCCTCTTTCCTCTCCTTCTTTCCCTCCTTCCCCCACTCTTCTCTCCAGGTTCTTTTTTTTTTTTTATCTTTTTTTTTGGTCCTGGGCTTGAACTCTGGGCCTGGGCCCTGTCCCTCAGCTCTTCAGCTCCTCAGCTCTTCAGCTCAAGGCAAGTGCTTTACCAATTGAGCCACAGTGCCACTTTCGGTTTTCTTGTGGTTAATTGGAGATAAGAGTCTCATGGACTTTCCTTGCCTGGGTTGGCTTTGAACCACGATCCTCAGATCAGCCTTCTGAGTAGCCAGGATTATAGGTGTGAGCCACCAGCTCCTGGCTCTCCAGGTTCTTGTTATGAGCCCCAGGCCACCCCCAAACTCAAGATCTTCCTCTTTGTCTCTGCATGCTGGGATTATAAGTGTGCATCACCACACCTGCCTCTACACTGGCTTATTCATCGTATCTGCCAATAAAGATTTGAAATTATTCTACGGTGTTTCCTTTGAATAGCTCTGCTAGTGTGTGTGTGTGTGTGTGTGTGTGTGTGTGTGAAGTGGGTTAACTGTGACATGCATGAAGGTGGGAAACCTCTCCATTGGTTTCACCATATTCTCCCAGGGGTCCTGCAGACTCTAAGCACAGATTCTTAAAATGTCAGCATTCTGGACACAAAGAAGGTCTAGGGTTAATAAGGCAAAGGTGTTTAGCTCACCTTATGATCTTTGCCCACAAACTTGAAGACGGGGACCTGGAAATGCTTTACGAGGTGATCCCGGGATGAGTACTGCTTCACTGAGTCATCTGAAACACAGCTGAAAGCAAGAGAGACAACAGGTGAGACTGATCGTTTCCACAGAGGTGGAAAAACAAGCTTGAGCCTCACATCTGGCTAAGGGAGAGGTGGAGCAGCTGGGGTTCCCCAGCTATCTGAGGAGGAAGGAAAAAAGAGATTCCTGAAGATATGGAGACACAGTCCTCCCCCACGGGGCATGTTAGGCTTGCCCGGCAACCCCCGCTAGGTCTCTGTCACCATTTGTTTCAGTGCCCCAGGCCCACTGAGAGGAGGCTGTCTTTCACCTGCAATGTGGTGCAAGAATTCTGACTTCATGATTTTTGTTATTGGTGTGAAGAGGACTTTCTTAGATTTAATAAATATTGACTGGACACTTGACAGACAAGAACACTGAAGATTACAAAGTAAACAAACCACAATTTGTGATCAAAGAGCCCTGCACACCTGGACGTTTCTTAGGGAATTTGTGCTTCCATTGGGGACACTTGCCACAGTTATTCTAATTGCCCGTTTTCCACATATAATGGTGAGTTACACTGTGATAAAGTTTTTTAGCTTAGGTCTACTGCTTCCAGTGCAATTTCTGAGTGTATCTCAAGGCTGAACCCTGAGATATTTTAGATATTGCTTGGATATTGTTGAATTTTTTTCCCTAAAAAGCCAGGGATTATCCTCATATTATTTGTTCCATTCTAAGTTCTAAAAGAACTTTTCTTCTTCCCAAGACAGAGTTGACTTTTTATATGTAGGTAGTAATTTTTCTACTGAGCCAGGAAGAAGTGTGGTTAGACATTAGAGACTCTGAAACAAGGTTCTTACTCTACATGCTGTTTATTGCTGTTTCAGTGCAATTAAAAAATTCAGTAAAAGCTAGGCGCTGGTGCTCACGCCTGTAATCCTAGCTACTCAGGAGGCTGAGATCTGAGGATCACTGTTCAAAGCCAGCCTGGGCAGGAAAGTCTGTGAGACTCTTATTTCCAATAAACCACTAGAAAACTGGAAGTGGCGCTGTGGTTGAAGTGGTAGAGCACTTGCCTTGAGCTGAAGAGCACAGGGACAGCGCCCAAGCCCAGAGTTCAAGCCCTGCGACCAACCAAAAAAAAAATCAGTAAAGTTTTTTTTAAGGCACCTTGGCTCAAGTGGTACTTTCTAGGCAGAAAGTACTATTGCCTAGAAAGTCTACAGCTGTGAATTCAGTAGCCCCCAAAAGAGGGAGAGTATCTCAACTTGAGTAGCTACTAGCTCCTGACTTCACCAACCTGGAGATGATCTCAACAAGTGCCATGGTTTCTATTTCTTGTATTTCCTGAGAAAAATTAACTTACAGATCCTCAGCTTGATCACCAGCATCAAAAATTGAAGAAACAGATGAATAATATGATCTATGACATGACAGAGTTTGTCACATGATAATATGATAACAGCACACTTCGTATTTAAATGATGCCTTGTATCTAAATGCCTTATTCATCTTTTTTTTTTTTTTTGGTAGTACTGTGGTTTGAACTTTGAAGGCCTCATACTTGCTAAGCTGGTACTTTTTCACTTGAGCTACACCTCCAGTCCTATTTTGTGCTGATTATTTGTGTGTGTGTGTGTGTGTGTGTGTGTGTGTGTGTGTGTGTACATGCTGGAACTCAGGCTTGAACTCAGGGCCTCTCTCTCTTGCTTGGCTTTTTCTCTCAAGGTTGGTGCTCTACCACTTAAGCCATAGTTCCACTTCTGACTTTTTTGCTGGTTAATTGGAGATAAGTGTTTCATGTTTTTTCTGGCTTTGAACCATGATCCTCAGTCTCAGTCTTTGAGATACTTATCTCCAATTAACCACCAAAAAGCCAGAAGTGGAGCTGTGTCTCAAGTGGCAGAGTTTCATCCTTGAGGAAAAAAGCTAAGCAAGAGCATCCAAGGCTCTGAGTTCAAACCCCATACTGCCATAAATACACACACAAGGGCTGGGAGGTTGGCTCAGTGGTAGAGTGCTTGCTTCGCATGCATGAGGCCCTGGGTTGGATTCCTCAGCACCACATAAGCAAAAAGAAACAAAAAACCAGAAGTGGTGCTGTAGCTCAAGTGGTAGAGCGCTCGCCTTGAGCTGAAGAGCTGAGGGACAGCGCCCAGGCCCAGAGTTCAAGCCCCATGACTGACAAAAAAAAATACACACACAAATACATATATGTGTACTTATTAATATATATATGCATGCCCATGTATACATGTACTTGTATACATATGTGCACACATATAAACTTATAGGTATGCATACATACAAATATACACATATAAGTGTGTTTATGACTAGCTCCAAATTACTATTTAAAGTACTTATTCAGTAAATTTCTTGGCAAATATTTAATGACCTCCACTCTACAAAAGCTTGAGGAGGAAGGAAAAAGAAAGTAATTTTGACTTTGCCATGAGATAGAATCAGAGAAGGTTGCATAGAGGGAAAAAACTACAGAATCTTGAAGGATCACAAAGAATCAGATAAGAACAAAAGGTGGCGAAGGAAATTTCACAAACGGTGTCAGGATACTGAACATCAGTTCAAACTGAACATCAGTTTGGGAACTGCTTGTAATTCTCTCTGGCAGAAGCAGAAACTGGAGGAGGCCAAGGTCAGTCAGAGGGTGAGGCAGAGAGCCAGTTATCTCCTGTATCTCTTGTCTGGCGACTTGGACTGCTGCCTGCCAGCTTACAAACCAGGTCTTCCACTATGGTTTCCAAGTTCTTTTTTTTTTTTTGTTCAGCCATAGGCCTTGAATTCTGGACCTGGGTGCTATCTCTTGAGCTCTTCAGCTCAAGGTAAGGAAGCACTCTACCACTTGAGCCACAGCACCACTTCCAGTTTTCTGCTGGTTAATTGGAGATAAGAGTCTCACAGACTTCCTTGCCCAGGCTGGCTTTGAACTGTGATTCTTGGATCTTAGCCTCCTGAGCCTCAAGCTAGGATTACAGGCGTGAGCCACCAGTGCTTGGCTCCAGTTCTTTTTTTTTTTCTTTTTTTGCCAGTCCTAGGGCTTGAACTCAGGGCCTGGGCACTGTTCCTGAGCTGCTTTTTGCTCAAGGCTACCACTCTATCACTTGAGCCACAGTGCCACTTCTAGCTTTTTTTAAAAAAATGTGGTACTGAGGAATTGAACCCAGGGCTTCATGGATGCTAGATAAGCATACCACTAACACACATCCCCAGTCCAGTTTCCCAGTTCTTGTCTGATTTTTTTTCTTTTTCTTTTTTTTTTTTTTTTTTTTTGTGTCCAGTCGTGGGGCCTGAACTCTGGGCCTGGGTGCTGTCCCTCAGCTCTTCAGCTCAAGGCTAGCACTCTACCACTTGAGCGTCAGCCCCACTTCCAGCTTTTTCTGCTTATGTGGTGCTGAGGAATCGAACCCAGGGCCTCATGCATGCAAGGCAAGCACTCTACCACTGAGCCACCTTCCCAGCCCTTGATTTTTTTTCTTTTGCAGCTCTCTCAGTCTGCCTCTGTTTCTCTCTCTTTCATACACACATATGCCTACACACTAAATAAATAGTGCAGTTCCTTAGAACTGCCTAAACAAAGGAACAGTACTTCATTGAGCATCTCAAGAACAAATGTGTAAGCAAATTTCATAAGTTTTTAGATTGTAGGTCACTCCTTTCCACTATATGAGTTGTGACTATATGCTTCTTTTTTTTTAAAAAAAGTAAATAGCATTTCTCTCACATTTAGGGTATATATGTGTACTTATTTATACTTGTATACATATGTGCACACATATACACACACTTGTGCATCATATAAACATATAGGTATGCATATATATAAATATGTACATGTATGTATGTTTATGACTAGCCCCAAATTACTATTTTAAGTATTCATTATTAGGGATATGGTTTCTCAGAGCATACAAACTGTACACTTTACAAAGTATATATGTGTATAAAAACAGTATAATAAACTCATCAAAAATGGTCAAAAGGGGAGTTGAGGGATGGGTGTTAAGAAAGATTAATATTGGGGCTGGGGAGGTGGCTCAGTGGTAGAGTGCTTGCCTTGCATGCATGAGGCCCTGAGTTTGATTCCTCAGTACCATATAAGCAAAAAAAGCCAGAAGTGGCCTTGTAGCTCAGGTGGTAGAGTGCTAGCCTTAAGCTGAAGAGCTGATGAGTTGAGGGATAGCACCTAGGCCCAGAGTTCAGGCTCCAGGACTGGCCAAAAAAAAAAAGAATGATTAATATTAGCATGTGATCCTAACTGCTCAGAAAGATCATGAATCAAAGCTAGTCAATGGATTTGAACCTAAAAATGTATGCTTTTTCTTCTCTTAGAGTCTACCAAATATTTTGTCTTACTGCTTCACTGTCTCCCTACCAAACTTCCTTTTTTTTTGGCTGCATTGTATTGGTATTTGAACTTAGAGCCTTTGCTAGGCAGGGGCTCTACCACTTAAGCCACTACACTAGTCCTTTTTTGCATTGGTTACTTTTTAAGATATGGTCTGGCTTAATGCCCAGGCTGTCCTGGACTGCAATCTCCCTATTCATGCTTCTAGGTATAGTTAGCATTCTTAACACCATGGGCTTAACACTATGGTGCTCAGCCACTGGTTGAGATGGAGTCTTGTGAACATTTTGCCTGGGCTGGCCTTAAACCACAATCCCCTATATCTACTTCCTAAGCTAGAATTACATATTTGAGCCACAATGCTTAGCTACTTGCAAATTTCTTAAAAAGGGAGTCTATACTTGCTGTTTTCTTCTGCTCTTTCCAGAACAAAGGGCTTAGTGTGTGTGCCTCACACACTCCTGCCCTCTTTGAGCAGGCTAGCAGGCCCTTCAATTTCAGTGATAAAGCAGGGTGATGCCGTCTCTTACCTCTAGTCTTGACCTAGTTTCTGAGCTTGCTACTCATTTCCAACTGCCCACTTATAGGTATTGCAAGTTTAAAGTTACTCAGTATATCAGGAGGCTGAGATCTGAGGATCAAAGTTTGAAGCCAGCTGGGGAGACAAAGCCAAGAGACTCTCATTGTGAATTAGCCGGCCAAAAGCTGGAAGTGGAGCTGTGGCTCAAGTGGTAGAGCACCAGCCTTGAATAGAAAAGCTGAGACAATGTCTAGCTACTGAGTTCCAGCCCCAGGATTGGCATGCACACACACACCATACACATTCAGTATATTATTTTGTAGGCTCAAACTCAATCTTCTTTAAAAACGCAAGTCCACTTCTTTTATATAATGTCTTTTCTCAGTGGCATGTGGGGAGTTACTCGAGCTAGACTCCCTGGAGTAATTTTTGACTTCCCTCCCTCCCCCATTTCACCTCCACCTCCGGATGTGACTAGCGAGGACCCTCTGGAAGTGTCCTAAGGTCTAGATGGGTGAATTCAGGAGACAGTTCGAGCAGCGTCATTACCCATCGCGGATAAGGTAGTACTTGGGGATCTCATCCATTTTGGAGGTGGGGGTGGCGAAGCAGCTCTCCACCAAGCTTTCCAGGCCGCTCACGTGCACCAGGGGCTCAATGCCGAAGTAGAGGGAGTCCCGGAGCTTCAGTGTGGGTAGAGCTTCCCGGTAGGGTTCCTCGAACTCGTTGTCCTTGAAGATCTCCAGCGTGAAGGGGAAGATGCCGTGGTTGCGGCTCATGATCTCTAGGGGCGCATTTCGGAGGTTGGGAACATAGCCTTCGGAGATGTTGTAGAGACGCGGGTACTCGCAGGTCACCGGGATCAGAAGCTTGCTGGTGCGGATGATGACATCCCCGCTACTCCCCGGGGTCTGCTTGGGGACACCTGTCACCAGGTTGCTGGCCACAATTTTATCCTCCACCACCTGTGGCAGGCCAGGACAAGTTAAGAGCTTAGGCTTATTTCTAGAATTATCTCCCTTTTTAGAAACATCTGGTACATCAAAACACATTACAGATTTTGTTGCCTACACCTCCAGAGCTTTAGTTTTTTTCTCTTGTTTTTGACTTGTTCTCTCAGTGCTGCCCAGTCTAGCTTTGAACTCTTGGGCTCAAGGGATTCTTTTGCCGTCTCTGTTGAGTAGCTGAGACTACGGCCACTAAACCTTTTCAAATAAAATTACTTATTTATTTTTGGTTCCTGTCCTGGGGCTTGAACACAGGGCCTGGGTGCTATCACTGAACCTTGTGCTCAAGGCTAGCTCTCTACCACTTTGAACCACAGCTTCACTTCTGCTCATAGACTTAAATGCCTGCTTTGAACCATGACTCTCAGATCTCAGCCTCCTGAGTAGCTTGGATAACAGGTATGAGCCACCAGTGCCCAGTTTAAAAGTATTTTATTGCTTGCTCCCAACCGTTAGAAATTATATTTACTACCAGGTGCTGGTGGCTCACACCTGTAATCCTAGCTACTCAGGAGGCTAAGATCTGAGGATCACGGTTCAAAGCTAGCACAGGCAGAAAAGTCCATGAGACTCTTACTCTAATAAACCACCAGCAAACCAGAAGTGGCGCTGTGGCTCAAGTGGTAGAGCGCTCGCCTTGAGCTGAAGAGCTTAGGGAGAGCACCCAGGCCCAGAGTTCAAGCCCCACAAATCCGCACATTCCAAGCTCTGTTATCTTAGGAGAGGCCAGCATCCATGTGTTATTTTTTCAGAGTTTTGGACCTGGGGATTTTGCTACAGCACAAGCTTACACGGAGTCTCCTACCCTGGGACCTCAGTGTTACAACACTGTAGATGCTTTTTGGCTCTTTACACCAGCCCCCATGGTCTCCTGTATGAATGAATGCTTCCAGCCTGCAATGGGGCATTCACACTGGCTCATCCATGGCGAGAATACACACAGTTGGCCTCTTACCCTAAGTCTGATTAGCCCTCAAGTTTTTACTTAGTGAGTTGTGTAAACAAATACTCATTTGCCCAGATGATGGCCCAGGCTTCTGCACTGACCTGCAGCTGCATCATCTGTGTCTATCCATCTTGCACACAATCAGTTCCATCTCCTCTGTCCCTGGTTATCCCCACCTCTGTGAGATCAAACCTGGATGCCTCTCCCTTGCATACAGGCCGGTCTTTGACCCATTCTCCATCCCATGTACTTTCTAATTTCATTTCCCAGTGTGTATTCCTTGTCAGGCAGGAATTCCTGCACTGCACATTCATCTCAGCCAGGCACACCCACTCTCCTCTCAGAGACTTTGCTCATTTATTCCCCATCTGAAAGGTTCTTTCTTTTTCCCCCTCTCTGCTTGTGTAAGACCTCCTCTTTTGCCCCAGTCCAAGCCCCTTGAGGGAGGGGGCCTCTTGGACTCCTAGGAGCTCTGAGGTTTCACAGTTCATCCCTTACTGACATTCTATGCGCTGTCATTTCAGTGTTGCTATGTGAGTTTCTCATGGCAGGAATTGCCTCCAGTGCTCTCCAGCACAGGGCTGAAAGAATAAACTTTTCCCCTCAACCTGGCTCAGTATATGCACTCATTGCTGCTCTACAAATAAACCACCATCTCTAAATAAACCTTTTCTTCCAGTCAAATGAGCTGATGAGAGGGGACCCAGCCAGCCTCTCTGTACTACTACATCAATGTGTCTGCACCTGGGGGACTTAGGGCCACTGGAGAGAAAGATCAACAGCATTCTTCCTAATTCGCTTCCTTATATTGCCCAGCCCTGGACAGGTGCTAAATAACATACTTGTTAAATGAATAACATATTTTCAGCTCAGTTTTTTTCCTTTCTCTTTCTCTCTCTTTCTCTCACACCAGTAGTGGAGCTTGAACTCAAGGCCTTGTACTCTCTCACTTAGCTTTTGTCCCTCAAGACGCATTCTACCACTTGAGCCACACTTCCAGCTTTTTGCTGGATAATTAGCTATAAAAGTCTTTTGGACTTGTCTGCTTGGACTGACTTCAAACCCTGATCCTCCAATCTTAGCTTCCTGGGTAACTAGGATTACAGGCGTGAGTCAATGCTGTTACGTGGAAGCATTTCATGTATAACACGAGCCATGCTGCATTCCTGTCCTTCTCCTAACGTTCACAAGGCAGACCTACTTCCACCACGGTGCCGCATGTCTTGAGGGAGAAGAAGATGTTGACATGGGTGCCATTGGACACTCCTCGGCAGGAGGTGTTAGTCAGGAAGAGCTCCAGGCCACCAACCAGCTCCCTTGGGACACTCACTTCAATGGTGCTTGACTTGCACAACACGGGGACTGTGAAAGAGGAACTGATGTTAGAAAGGGAGACCTGGGTTGGGAGGAAGAGAAAGGAGGTATTCTGCGGGGGGGGGGGGGGGGATAGTTTCTCATACATCTTTTTTGTGTGTGTGTATGGGTCCGGTCGTGGGGCCTGAACTCTGGGCCTGGGCGCTGTCCCTCAGCTCTTCAGCTCAAAGTTAGCGCTCTACCACTTGAGCCACAGCTCTACTTCCAGCTTTTTGGTGCTTAAGTGGAGACAGGAGTCTCATGGACTTCCTGCCCAAGCTGTCTTCAAACCATGATCTTCAGATCTCAACCTCCTAAGTAGCTAAGATTGCATGCATGAGCCATGGGTGCCATGCTTAATATATTGTTCTTTAAAATAGGAGTCTTGTATTCAAGTGTCAATTAAACAAACAGTTGGTACAAAGTATGGTTAGCATACTCCACAAGTAAAACTCCTAAAGGATTAACATTTAATACCAACACAATTTATTGGCAATTCAAGAAAAGCATTGCTTTGATATAAGCTTAAATGATACACAGTCCTGCTTTCATTTCACCATTAATTATTGTCCTATAAAACAGAGGTAATAAACAGTGTTAGTGCTTTCAGAGAAGACTTCCAAATTGTCCTTGCACTGCTTGGTAAGGTTGTAAACTCTGACTATAAATTCCATTTCAACTTACTATAAAAAAAAAGATCGTTTTTCCATAGATGTTCACTTCTCTAGACTGTGCACACCCTGAAAGGCCTGTCACAATCCAGTATGTGAGGATATATTATAACAACATAATATATAAAGAAGTCAGACAGAAGGGACATTAAACATTTGCTGGAGGAGTGAACTAGAAGAATACAGTCTTTGGAGGATTGTTGAGAGAAGCCATTCCCCAACTCTTCAACTAAACTTTATGAAACTCTCCTTATTTGTCTTATTCTTCCAAACTGCTGTACTATTAGCCATAGAAATTTAGAGAAAAATCAGGTATAAACAACAAAGGAAGATTAGCATTTTGTAATTCTGCAGAGATATTCTCTTTTGAATGATTCATCAGAGGTGGCTACTCAAAGAGCTAGTGTTGGGAAAGAGGAGAGTCTGGTGCACTTGGGAGGGGAGGGTTAAGGGGTTCAGGGAAGGGAAATATAAATGGGGCAGATGGGGACCATCCATGTTCTACCTTGGCAAGTGTGGTTATCGTCGGACAGCACCAAGCCCCGGGGACACTCGCAGTGGTAGCCTTTCTCAGATTCTATGCAAGAGTGGCTGCAGCCACCATTGTTGCTGTGGCATCCTTTAATATCTGCAGTGGAGACCAACACAAAAGGGAATCAGCCCTCTTCCTCACAAGCTCCCACATGTACAGCAGAAATTGTTCCTTATTTTACAGTAGTATCCCTGGCATCTGGCCTGGTGATGGAGATTTGTAGACAACCTCGCAAAAATATTAGTTAAATGTTATGGCTACAGGGGCTGGGAAGATGGCTCAGTGGTAGAGCGCTTGCCTTGCATGTCTGAGGCCCTGGGTTCGATTCCTCAGCACCACATAAGCAAAAAGAAAAAAGCCAGAATTGGCGCTGTGGCTCAAGTGGTAGAGCGCTAGCTTTGAGCTGAAGAGCTGAGGGACAGCACCCAGGCCCAGAGTTCAAGCCCCACAATCGGACCCTCCCCCCAAAAATAAATGTTATGGCTACAAACTATAAGCAGCCATTGTCAAATTCCAGCTCCCCATGTAAGCTGCTCAGGCATTTCAATTTGGGTATTCAGTTTTGTCTGACTTCTTTCTCATGGTTGGACTGAGATCATAGGCATTTAGGAATAAGACCCCCAAAGCCATTTTATAGTTGCTTTAACATTTAATTAGTTTGAATTTTATAGAGTATTACTGATGAAAAAGGACTGGGTATAAATTCAACTGGATGAGCTGGTGGACAGAGTTGCTGCTAACTGGCTGGATCACTGGCCCACCTTCTAGAATCTCTAGGAATCAGAGGGCTAGGGATAAAGCATCTTGGCTGATGATAACACACTATGAAAATGAGGCTTGGGGACTGGGGCTGTAGCTCAAGAATAGAGTGCTTGCCTAGAATGTGCAAGGCCCTGGGGTTCAATCCCCAGCACTGTAGTAGTAATAATTATTATTACTAATTATTAATTATTATTATTATTACTACTACTACTACCACCACAACAACCACAACAACCTTGTGGGACCAGGTTATCATCTTCCAGGTCAGGGGTTGTCACTCTAACCTGTTACACATTGTTATAAATAGTTATTGGCACACAGCCATGACCACTTATCTACCTATTGTCTGTGGCAGTTTTCTCACTACAAAGGCAGAGTTGTGTAGTTTTGACTGATTCTGTATGGTGTACAATGTCTAAAATATTTCTCATCTACCCTTAATGGGAGAAGCTTGCTGATATTTTTTCTAGGTAAAAAATGGAAGTGAATGTTTCAACTTTTATAAAGTTATTCTTTTATAAAAAATAAATTCGGGGCTGGGAAGGTGGCTCAGTGGTAGAGCGCTTGCCTTGCATGCCTGAGGCCCTGGGTTCGATTCCTCAGCACCACATAAGCAAAAAGAAAAAAGCCGGAAGTGGCGCTGTGGCTCAAGTGGTAGAGCGCTAGCCTTGAGCTGAAGAGCTGAGGGACAGCGCCCAGGCCCAGAGTTCAGGCCCCACGACTGGACCCCCCCCAAAAAAAATTCTCAATGAATTAGTCTTTGCAAAACTTAGAAGACATTAGGTATTACCTGTTTATAAATCTATATATTTCAAAAGGACATAAGCAAAGTTTATGAACTTTTAAAATAGCTGAAATCATATATACAATGGTGGAAGAAAATAAAACATATGCTATAAGATATTGAAATCAATAATAATAATAGAATTTGTTTTTGCACTTTGGGAAATGGAACCCAGGGTCTCACACATGGCAGTATTCTACTACTGAGCTACCCCCTAAGTTGTAATTTCAATATTTGTAAAACAAAGGGTTCACATTAAATGATCATACAGATTTCAGGCCCCAAAATCCAAAGCACAAAATACACTGAAAATCTAAATTACTTTGAAGGATTTAACTCTCTCAGGAGGATAGAGCAAAATGTTTGGAATGGAATTATCTGGCAAAAGGGATTGTGGGCCATTTTGTTATCTCTGTATTTTCTTTATGCTTTCTAATAAAACAGTAAAAATTACTTAAAATTTAAAAGGATAATTTATTGTTTTTAAAAGATATAATTTTAAAGATATAATTATTATTTTTAAAAAAAGATATAATTAAACAAGGTTCTGGTAACACGTCTATAAACTAATCAGAAGGTGGAGATCAAGAGGATCAAGGTTAAACTTTTTTTTTTAATTGTGAAAATATTGTACAGAGGTGTTACAATTACATGGGCAAGGTAATGAGTACATTTCTTATCAAGCATTGTTGCCTCTTCCTTTGTTTCCCCTTCCCATCCCTTCCCATCTCCCACCCACCCACCACCAAAGTTGTAAAGTTTGTTTTCAACATAACGTCTTGTACATCTCATTGTTGCAATGGGTCTGCCTGTATCCCTATTTAAACAATTTGTTTTTTTCCCTTCCCCTCCCCAAATTATACCAACATCAAATACAGTGAAAACAGGGGTTATGCCATGGGGAAGGGACATACAAAGCAACAAAGAAATATCTTATAAATATGTTAGAAACAATAGCAAGAAAGAAAAAACATTTAAGGTTAAACTTTTTACTGGGCAAAAAGTTTCCCAGATTACTCCCCACACCATTTCAACCAATAGTTGGGCACAATGACACAGATTTGTCACCCCAGCTACATGGGAAGATGGGGCTGGGATGACCTAAGTTCCAGGCCAGCCTGGAATAAACAAGTTTGTGAACAGAGAAAGTGGGGAGTGGTAGCATGTACCTGCTCAGCTATGAGGGAGGCATAAATTGGGGATTGTGGTTCAGGCTGGCCTAGTCAAAAAACAGATCTTATCTCAAAAGTAATCAGAGCAAAAGCACTTTGCCTAGCAAGTGTGACCCATGAGTGCAAACTCTAAAACTATAAAATATATACAAAATAAACAAAAAAGATTTTAATAGTCCTACTACAAAAGTATGTTCAGACTATCAATAAAATCTAAGTTTTAAATGGCACTATCACTCCTAAAATATATATTCATATATAATTCATAAGTAATAACTTCTGGTTATGAGGATTAATGATAATAGTTCTAATAACATATTCATGAATAATTACAAATATTCCTCATACATGTTTTATTAATATGCAAATATCCTTAGTCAATAAAATTTAAAATACACTTAACTTTGCTATAAAGGGATAGTATATAACATTGTAAACTTTGTTACATGGGAAAATTGTGATACTTAATCATTTTTTTGTGGTAATATTATTTTGAATTTAACAAGAAAAAAGTCTATTCTTGTAAGCAGTAGTATAGTTCTATTGATTCACAAATCAGTTATCCTGTAGGACAAATCATATGTCTTTTGTATATAATGACAGTCAAGCTACTGATCTTTCCATGTCACTCTCTGCTATGACTGTGAGGAAAATTCACATTTATGAGAGTAGAAGTGTGAATTTTTAGCTGTAATGATTTGCAAAGGTAAATGTGTCTTAGAGTGGGGACACTGTCTAAGTTTTGTGCAATAATAGTAGATTATTGAAACATCATGTGGTGTTCTATAAATCTGTAAATCATATCAACTTAAAAAGTAAAAATATAGGGCTGGGAAGGTGGCTCAGTGGTAGATCACTTGCCTTGCATGCATGAGGCCCTGGGTTCGATTCCTCAGCACCACATAAACAAAAAGAAAAAAGCCAGAAGTGGCGCTGTGGCTCAAGTGGTAGAGCACTAGCCTTGAGCTGAAGAGCTGAGGGACAGCACCCAGGCCCAGAGTTCCGGACCCACGACCAAACCCCCCGCACCCCCCTCCCTGCCAAAAAAAAGTAAAAATATGGCTGGACACTGGTGGCTCATGCCTATAATCCTAGCTACTCAGGAGTCTGAGATCTGAGGATGGTGGTTTGAAGCAGGCCTGCGCAGAAAAGTCCATTAGACCCTTATTTCCAATAAACTACTCAGAAAAGGCCGGAAATGGAACTGTGGCTCAACTGGTAGAGCACTAGCCTTGAGACAAAGAACCTCATGGACAGTGCCCAGGCCCTGAGTTCAAGGCCTAGGACCAGCACCAAAAATAAATAAAAAAGTAAAAATAGAAAACAGTAATGGTAGGCAATTTATATTTCAATTACTTGATATACATCAGGAACTCTTTTTTTGTTCCTTAGTCATATAATGTATATAACATCTCTGCTATTAAAAGTAGATAATTTTATTTATCTCCAAAAAATGCTAATCTTTAATAAATGCAAAGCATACATAGGGATAGCAACCTCATGAAAACCAGTTTCCCAAACTTGTAAGACAGGGAGAATCACCTATGGAACTTGTTAGAAATATGAACTGTTAGCCAGGTGTTCATGGCTCACCTATAATCCTAGCTACTCAAGAGTCTGAGATCTGAGTATCATGGTTTGAAGTCAGCCTAGGCAGGAAAAAATATGAGAGACTTTTATCCTCAATTAATTAGCAAAAAGCTAGAAGTAGAGCTATGGCTCAAGTGATAGAGTACCAGCTTTGAACAAAAAAGCTAAGGAATAGTGCTCAGCCCTGAGTTTCAAGCCCAGTACTGGCACAAAAACAAAACAAAACAAAACAAAGCCTCACGAACTGTAAGGCCCTATCCACACCTGGGTTCTTTGTGGAAGACTAGTGATCTTCAGCTTCACCCTGCTCCCAGCTCTGCTTCCTGGGCCAGTAATACACATGTCATTTACAAGTTATTTGCAGAGGTAATTGTCTTGACCTGCATCCAGGCCCCCTGAACCAGAATTTGCACTTTAACAAATCTTATGAGATCTAAGACTATATCTAAGCTTGAAAACCATGGAATAGTTCAATTCAATTTCTCTATTAAAAATGTGGCTTGTGATTAGAAATGACAAAATAATGGCATTTGCAGGGAAATGGATGGAGCTAGAAGAAATCATGTTGAGTGAGGTAAGCCAAGAGCAAAGAGACAAACAGTACATGGTCTCCCTGATAAGTGGATGTTAAATCGTAAATGTTAGGTGATAAGACAAAATTAACAGGACTTAAGAAACAAAGAACTCCCACTCATCTGGTCGAACCCTACTAAATATCCCCATGCTGCTGATCACATGTATGGTGTATTTGTGTACACCGTTATATATTATAGACTGTGATAGACAATTTGCTCCAGGAAAGTTAGAATGAACTTGTGACTTTAAATGAGCATCATTATTCCACAATACTGTGAAATTTGGGAAATTATGTAATCAATCACAATTTTTAAAAAATGTGTAATTGCCAGCAGCATAAAAAAATGTGGCTTGTGGCCTCCTGAAAAATTCTCTCCTGATAAGTGGGAGACAAAATTAACACTGAATTATGTGCACAACATAAATACCCCCTACTGATCGTGAATCCTTTCTATCATGATTTTGTGCAGCGAGTCACTCCTCTAACTCTAAGGCACATTCCCAGATGTTGGACAATGGGCCAGTGGCTTCCTTAGGACTCTGGGCTTGAGTCCTTCCTCATGGTCTCACCTTCACAAGTCCTGCCATCGCTCCTTAGAACACGTCCAACCCCACACTGACAGCGGTGGGAGCCTTTGAGGTTTACACATATCTCACTGCAGCCTCCATTGTTCTGCTCACATTCATTTTCATCTGTAGAAGAGAAACAATACCGTTGTTCTACTGCCAAGAGACTCACCTTGTCCCAAGACCGAGCAGATTCCCCACCTCTTCTCAGATCCTGCTGGTAACTCTGCACACCCCAATCACCCACTGTGATATGGCATCATCATTTCTACTAACCTTGTCTCCCTGTTAGTTGTTCATATGCCTCTGCTGAGTGGAAGGCACCTCTTTGCTTGCCAATTCCTTACTCTTAAGAGCAAAACTGGTCAGGCACAGGTGGCTCATGCCTGCAATCTTGGTGACTTGGGAGGCTGAGATTGAGAGGACCTCAGTTCCAGGCCAGTCTGAATAGAAGAGTTTGTAAGATTCTCTTCTCAACTGAGAGCTTGATATAGTGGTGTACACCTGTTTCTAGCTATGATAGGAAGCATCAAATAGGAGGATCATGGTCTGGGCATGGCCTTGGACCCAAGAAAGGAGATGAACTAGAACAGAGATTCTACTTAAGTCCAGGATCCCTTTGCTGTGACTTGGATATGGATTAAGTAAACCCTAGTGCTTGTGTGACCCCAATGTGGCATGCTATGAGAATGGTGGGGCCTAGTAGAGTAGCTGGGTAGTAAGGTCATCAGGGACCTTGAAGGTGGATGAAGAGGGTCTTGTGTGATTCCAGTTGTTATCTGGATTTCTGTCTATCATGCAATCTCTCCCTCTTCCATGTGATTGTAGCATAAACTATGAGGCATTCCCTAGAACTGAGCCAATGCTTGTGCCATGCTCTTGAACCTCCAGAACTGTATACTCAAGAAACCTCTTCTTTATCAATTACCAAGCTTGACTAATGTATTTCTCAATTAAACTGAAAAGTAGAACTTTACCAGGTGGCCCAGGGAAGCAATAAGGAAGCTATCTGCTGAGGTTTAGGGGAGGGAAAAGTCAGTCTTCACAAATACTGGAAAGCCCATGCCAGGCCCTGCCATGGCTGAAGTAGATTTATACTTCCCATGTCGTGAGGGGATTGTAAACTGAGAAACTGATAAGCAATTTGGCCCAGACTGGTAAGGTGTATGTAGTGCCTGACAGAAACACCTGAAAACCAGCTTTGTAGTAAAATTGCCTCAAACCAGTGATAAGAGTGAAGAGCTACAGAAAAGGATGGCAGCAGAAGATAGTCCACCATAAATGAGAACCCCATGGGAGAGGCCAAAGCAGGCCTTTGAAGTAGGTATAACACAATAATCCAGGAAATTCGAATATATATACTAATACCAGAAAGAGAAAGAGGAAGGAAAGCAACTAAAATAAGGGTGTAAAAAACAGGGCAGAATTGCAAACCAATAAATGTTTAGAAGCTGTAGAAGTGGAAACTATGGTTGCTGAGGACCCCTCTGAGCCCTTGCCTTGCTGCTTGCAAAGGCATGGTGAGCGGCTGGGGAGGAACAGGGCCACACCTGGGCTTGGGCTCCCTTCAAGGCCATTTCAAGCTTGGACTGCTAACCTGGAGACTGAATTGTTTTCACTGTAAAGGAGAACTGAAACTCTACTTATTCAGCCTATTGTTATTTGGGATTGTAATTGATAGCTTGGACATCTTACCCATGGAGTAAGGTGTCATTTTTAAGTTCAATTGAAGAATCAATTGAACAGTGTTGTTAGTTGGGCCTGGTGACACACACCTATAATTCCAGCATTCTAGAGACTGAGGCAGGAGCATCATGAATTCAAAGCCTGTGCTACCTAATGAGATCCTGTCTCAAAAATAAGAGCAAAAAACAAAAAGAAAACCAAAACCATTACCATATCACATAGTATTGTGGACACAAACAATAAATAAATAATAAAAGCATAGAGACAGGGAGCAGAATGAACTTGCAAACTGTGATCAGTTGGTGGGTGAGAGGACAAAGAAGATGGAGAATGACCACTCGATTTGTATCCGTAAAAGTCTATGTAAGTGTTTAAAACAGAAAGCAAAAGTTAACTGTTCTTAAATCTTGGAGGCATGCACATCTGTTTTATTATTTTCTTATAGTCTCCTCTCTTCCTGAAAAATACATATAACTGAAAACAAATTATGATAATTGTAATATTTAAATGAAAAATAATAAAAGCTAAAATTGACAAAGTCAGTTTTAAATATAAAAGCCTGCCTACAACTCATGATGTCAGTGATGTTTATAGACCCTAGGTAGATGTGTGGTGATTTGCTAGGCAAAGACATCCAAGAAATATTATCAATGAGGAGGTGTATATGTAGTTTGCCTTTGATATAAAAAGAAAAGTTCAATAAATAACTGTATCTTTGAATTTTTTATATCTGTTTATATCTGCTTGAAGAAGCCCTGGAAGCACACATAAGAAAACAATACATGTTTTTGGAACACACTGTGAAAAAAATTCATCACACATCTCAATTGGATGTCAGTTTTTATCAGAAACATTTGATCTGCATTTCCACCGAGGAAATATAGATATAATTTAGTTACTTAAGTTGTTCCACACATTTTTGGTTTTCCAATGACTGAATCAATAATCAATAAGTTTTTAACTTAAAATGTAGGGAAGTAAGATTCTCAAGAACCACTAGCCACATCTCAACTCCTTCACAGCCACATTGGGGCAAATGGCCACCACAGCAGACAGCACAACTGTAGACTGTCTAGGGGCTGTCACAACAAAACCTTGGCTTGAACTGCAGTCAGGAACTAAAAAGGTAAATGCTACTGCAAGTGTTGGAGAGACAAACTGTGTCAGACAGGCAGAGATTTTGATTGGTTTCCATGATCACAAGTTCCGAGTTCTACCTCAACTTGTTTCTTACCAAAACACGTCTGCCCGTCGTGGCCTATCACACTCCCTGGTGGGCATGTGCACTCATCAGTGTCCGAGCAGCTGTCCTGGCAGTCCTCCTCACAGACGTCATAAAAATCTGCACAAGGATAAAGATCCTCTTTTGTGAGTATAGTCACCGAGTACCATTCCCAGATATCTGCCCAGAAAGTCTCATGGTTTAGACCTTGTGTGAAAGAGTCAAACTGCTCGGGGGTGTCTTCTGTCTTCAGATCAGTGACTCTCAGTTTCAGGTCCATAGGCCTGTAGCTGGCAATATAGTTCTTATAAATTTGGAGTATTACCAGATATGGTGTGTCCTCCTCTTCTATGGACTTAAACATATAGGGACTGAGGATGTAACAATGTAGCTCAGGGATAGAACACTTGCCTAGCACAGTACTATCCCCAGTACTACAAGATTGAAAACATAAAAGTATGTAGATTTGATGGAATTAAGAACACAGAAATTTGCTTAAAGGTGTAAATGACTTCCTGAAGCTCCTTCTCATTAGACACCACTTTAACAAATTAATGGATAGTAAGCACAATTATCAGATGGATGTCTGAATAACTATCAATTTATCAACACAGATGACATAAAAAGGGGTCTTTTAAATTAAAAAAAAGGACTATTCAGATAATGTAAATTAACATTTTACTTCTACTGTTTTGTTTGAATGGAAAAAGATAAAAGATAAAAAGAATTAAGTGGGCACTGGTAGCATAAGCATAAAATCCTACCTACTCAGGATGTTGAAATCTGAGGATTGTGGTTCAAAGCCAGCCTGGCAGGAAAGTTTGTGAGACTCTCCAATTAGCCACCAAAAAGCTGGAAGTGGAGATGAGGCTCAAGTGGTAGAACACCAGCTTTGAGCAAAAAAGCTAAGGAGCAGCATCTAGGCCCTGAGTGCAAACACTAGTACTAGTATACACACACACACACACACACACACACACACACACACACACACACACACAGAAAATAGAACTGATAAAACTGGTAGTTCCTTCCCCTTTCTATTTCTGTAGGAAGTTTTCAGAAGTTCTAAGAATAGATGTCTGAAATCATGATATGGATGTATCATGGGTCCCAAAGGAAAGTTGCTTTGACTGAGATGCTATTGTCATCATAACTGGGTTTCAGTACTCACGGCCACAGTAGACGTGGAAGCACACACTGGGCTTAGCCAATCGATACACATAGTAACCTCCGGAGCAAGCCTTGACCTCCACCGTGGTGTTCCACAGGCAGCAGTTCCCTTTGAAGCTGGCACAGGCCTGGCGCTGCACAATGCCATCACCTTCTACAGGGTGGCTGCCATTGAGCCAGACAGGGGCATGGGTTCCACAGTGGTTTTCTGGCACACAGAAGGTGGGCATGGCATCACCTGCCATGCCTGTGAAGCGGTACCACTCTCCGTCCACATGGCTGTCACATGCAGGGGAGCCTTGAGACTCATCCAGCTGATGTTCAGTGTTCCTCCAGGGATCATTCAGACTGACATAGGCAGAGCAGGGATCTAGGGCTGCGAGGGGAGAGGGCACCTCAGAGGTACTCGGTGACATTGCAGATGGTGGCGCCAGCACCCTGAGCCTTTCTCTCCAACTCCCATTTGGGCTTTTTTTTTTTTTTAGTTCAACAAAGAAATCACCTACAGCCCCTATGTGGAAAATGAGCTATATAACTTGTGGGTGGAGACGTGAAGGAAAAACTTGGAGAGAACAAAGGAACAGGTTACATTGTCCAAAGAGAAATATATTCTTTATCTGACTTACATACTATGACCCCTCTGTACATCACCTTTACAATAACAAAATAATGTTTTTAAAAAAAGAGACTACCTACAATCCCAAAGAGAAGCTAAGATTTCTCAACTTGATTTAAACATCTTTCATAAATGCTCTTTACAGCATTGTTTTCAGCCTACTTAAGGCTTAGTGTTGGTATTGGACTAAACTTTGTATCTAATCTTTCAATGGAAGTATAGATTAAATTATGGTCTGCAACTGAGCAGACCATATTTTTTTTTCCATTTCAATAGATAGTATTTTAAATGTTCAGAGAAGTTACACCTTTGTGTTCCTCTCCTAAATATCCTTTAGTCAAGCAGACCATATTCTGAGTATTGTGTTCATACCTGAAGGGTGCATCTTATGAGAATATGGACTGATTTGTCTAGAGGAAGTTGGAGAGCCTTTGAAGGGATCCTAGGCATTGGTTACTATAGAAGAAGCTGAGAATTTGGGTTTGGGAAAAAGATGGAAGAAAATTCATGTTAGTTTTCAAAACTCTGGGATGGGGGCTGGTAGGGAGCTCAGTTGAGCCTGCGTTGAACATACACAAGGCCCCAGGTTTGATCCTGGAACAGGCCCCAGAATCAGAGTTAGGTATTCCATTATGAAAGCTAAACCAGATTATTGGGACCAAGCACATTTCAGTTCAACTATCCATCCACAGGAGAGGCTTTGGGGACCACAGTGTAGTTGGCTTCACATGTTTAGATGACTATCTGTGAAGAAAACTTCCATATCAGTGGCAAATTCCAAGAGATAAACAGTGTCTAAAGCTCTTTCCACTGAGAAGGAAAAAGCCCCAGCATTGCTGGTTTGCAAGCAATACACAGTCTACTGGCAAGTGGTTCCTAGAGATAGTATGACAGTTTGGGACAAGAAATAAGGATTTTCTGGAAAGAACATATTTGCAAAGCTGGGGGATAGCAGAAAACAGACTTTCATTTAATATATCCCTAAGGTGCCTCAATGGAGCAGTGTGATGTCTCTGGAAGAAAGAAATGTCCTCTGCCCCTCACCTCAGGGGAAAATATGTCCCCCTTGCTCTCTTGGCTGTCAGTCTCTTGCTAAGCAGGGACTCTAGAGCATTTCACAGGTGATTATTAATCCACAGAAATATTCCTCTCATTTTTTGCCTCTGTAATTTTATAAGGAATGGTTAGATACTCAACCTTTAATGATTTCTGCAGAAGAACATAATGAATATTCCATGATTTATAAAGTTTCCCTTCAAGTTAGCTGCCATTTCTTATGCTGTTAAAAAATTCACTTCCTCTGGGAGTGACCCAGCAGCTTCTGGCTTTCTATTTCCTTTAATAATCTGATCTTGGTATAAAATCCTGGTTCAAGTTGGGTGCTGGTGGCTCATGCTTGTAATCCTACCTACTCAGTAGTCTGAGATCTGAGGATCACAGTTCAAAGCCATCCTGGGCAGGAAAGTTATGTGAGACTCTTATCTTCAATTAACTACCAGAAAACTGGAAGTGGAGTTGTGGCTCAAAGTTGTAGAGTGCTAACCTTGAGTAGAAAAAAAAAAAAAAAGAACTCAGGGGCAGAGCCTAGGCCCTGAGTTCAAAGCCTCACAACTGACAAAAAATAAAGTAAAACAATAAAGAATCCTTTTTCAGCTGCAATGTGGAGCCCAGAATTTGGTATTATGCATATTAATCCTATATTAGGATACACTCTCTTCCATGGAAGTTCTTCAAAAAGGACAGCCCTGTGTGTTCCTTATAGTCTCCGTGGCTCACTTGTTCTCCAGGGCTCCTGCACAGTCTGTGTCCCACCCTTTAGTTTCAGGGTTGCTCTACCCAGCAGCCACCTCAAGATTATCTCCTTCATTGGCCCGGTGTCCCACTGGGTTTAATGCCCCTTCACCTTCCTTTTCTCCCCTGCTCATCCCCTTTAGTATCTTGTTTTCTCCCTCCCTCTCCTTCCCCACCCTCCTTGCCCCCCTCTCTCATTTCCCTCTCCTCCCAGGCCAACAAATGTCAGCCTATCCCTAGATCTCACTTCTGGCATTGAATCAAGTGTTGGGTGCATTGTGGGGAGAAGCAGGAGGATCTGGAGGCAATGGAGAGCATGAAAAGGGAAGTGGGAAAAGCTGGAGCATGACTTGATGCCTGAGTATTCTTGGCTAGTTACTTCAGCAGATTTAGGGTGATTGACAGGTAAATCATGCCTGTTTTAGGGGACTGTTTTGACTCTGAGATGAGTTGAGAAGACAGTATGAAGAGTTCCCATGTATTCTGTGCTGTTTTCCTCTCTTATTCCCACTGTAGACACATAGAATATCTTCATTAGCATGGCACCTGGGCCACAATAATAATTTTATTATTGTCAATACATTATTTTTGACTAGTCTACATTTATTCAGATTTCCATAGTTTTTTTCCCCCTGTTCCAGGATCTCATTCAGGAAATTATATGCATTTAGCTTTCATGTCTTAGAGTCCCAAAACTTTTTTTTTTTCATCATGGGGCTTGAACTAAAGGCCTGGGTGCTGACCCTGAGCTTTTCTACTTCAGGCTAGCACTCTACCACTTGAGCCACAGTTCCACATCCACTTTCCTGGTGGTAAATTGGAGATAAGAGTCTCAAGAACTTTCCTGTCTGGGCTGGCCTTGAACTGTGATCCTCAGACCTCAGTTTCCTGAGTAGCTAGGATTACAGGCATGAGCCACCAGCACCCAGCATTCAAATCTTTTTTTTTTTTTTTTTTGCCGGTTGTGGGGCTTGAACTCTGGGTCAGGACGCTATCTCCCAGCTCTTCAGCTCATGGCTAGTGCTCTAGCACTTGAGCCACAGCGCTGAGGAATTGAACTGAGGGCCTCATGCATGCGAGGCAAGCACTCTACCACTGAGCCACCTTCCCAGCCCTCCCAAATCTATTTTTAAGGTGTATCTTAAAGGTGCCAGTACAAGGCCTAGGTTCCTGCAAAGAAATAAATTATAGATGAGTTAGAGTTACACAGAAGTATGGCATGGTTGTCTTTATTTGTCCTCCACCCACTCTTCTAATAAGAGCTTATGCTTTATTGAAGAAAAAAAGAAAGGAAAATCAGTTAGTAACTAGAACTGAAACTTCCCTTTGCCTAGTTGGCCAGATTTGTGCCAAGTCTGAGAGAGACAGTTTCCGAATTGCTTGGTCAGTACAAACAAAATACCTATATTTGAAGGTCAAAATAACTAAGTCTCTTTCATCCAGCTCTGTCCCTTCTTGAGAAGAAAGATTTCACCTTTGCATTCACAAAAACTAACACCCGATTCTGAATGATAGAAATTATTTTCTACTTCTATATTGGAACTATAAAAGTATCCAAAAGAAATATTTAGCTCATGGAAAGGTGTTCCTATAAGCCCTGGAAAGTGTGGAAGCTCCGGAAAGAGGTTAAATGGAACATGGAACAGAAATTCTCTAAAAACACATTTTCATAGAGAAACGATTTTCCTTATTCAATTCTAGATCCAATATTTAAAGCCCTAAAATACAGTTCTAGATAATCTATGCACATAGCCAACTGCAACAACAAAAGTATACAGTGACAAGGTTTGGACAGGAGACTCACCCATGGGCGACACCGAGGTGACAAGAAAGGTGAGCAGCAGGATCTGAGGCATCTTTCTGGACCAGCCACCAGAAACGAAGTGGAAATCTTCTATGTTTTCCTTTCTCTTCTTTTCCAGTGCTTAAACGAAAGAAAGAGAGAAACTTGCAGGCTTTTATGAAGAATGACTTTGTCAGTATAGCCTAGGTCCTTATCAGAGGAAGAGGCTGAGTGGGACAAGAGTCCCTCACTCTGGCCGTGACCCCAGGAAAGGTCACCCACTGTCAACAGAATTATTATATTGATATTTTTCTTTAAGGGGTTAAAAAGCCCTCATAATCCCTCATCCTCTGATTGTTTTCTCTCAAGAATTCCCTGCAATGAAGCCTCCAGTATCTTATCCAGAAGGGAACAATCCCTCATGTTGGAATATTGTGTGAGTTCTAGGAGTTGGTTTCAAAATTCGGAACCAAAGTGGTGCTCAGTGGCACTGGGACAAGCCACATATCACAGCAGGTCAACAGGAAATGTCTTGGTGAGAAGGTCAAGGTGCTGACAATAGCCACAAAAAAGTAGTGACGAGTTTGGGATAGGGCCAACATCCTCTTTTAAGTTCTATTCTTTAGGCAAAATTGAGGTTTGGACCCAAGACCTGTGTTTGCTAGGCAGGTCCTCTATCACTTAAGCTAGGGCCAAGATTCTCTATCTTTTTTTATTATGATCTCTGGTCTCAAAACTTCTTATAGAAACCTAAAATGCTTTTGCCGATTCAATCTGTGTATTCACAGTGCCTTCCTCCCCCAAATGACCAATGATGCTTCAGTCTTATTTATTTCACTATTGCACTAAAATGGAGAATAGAAACTTAAAATTCAGAACTACTCATTAAGTTAGTAACACTCTGGAAAGTTCAATATTGAGAGTTTTGCTTTTAGATCAAGAGAGGAAAATATAAGGATTTGTCAGGTATAAAGTAGCTAGCTTTTGTGGAGGAGAAGGGGAAAAACCAGTTGTTTAAGGATACAGGTGGACCTGTTGCAACAATGAGAAGTACAAGTTGTCATGTCCAAAATGAGCTTTACAACGTCGGTGCGGGGGGGGGGGGAGGGGGGAAGAAGGAGAAGGATTGGGATTGGGGGGCAGGGAGGAGGCTGGGAAGGGATGTGAAGGGTAAACCAAAGGAGGAGGCTGCAATGCTTGGTAAGAAATGTACGCATTATCCTGCCCATGTAATTGTAACCCCTCTGTACAGTATGTTCACAAATAAAATTAAATTAAAAAAATAAAGTAGCTAGCTTACTTAACTGAAAAATGAGCAAGCAATGGAGCTAAAAGTGAAAAAGAAAGGCAAAAAAGGAGTGAAAGGAAAAGCCTGGCTTTAAAAATACTATTATGTATTTATTTATATATGGGGCTTAAATTGACTCCACTTGGCTTTTTTTGCTCAAAGCTAGCACTTAGCCACACCTCTACTTTTGGCTTTCTGCAGGTTAACTGGAGATAAGAGTCTCATAAATGTGTGTGTGTGTGTGTGTGTGTGTTTGCCCAGGGCTGGTTTTGAACCTCTATCCTCAGATCTCAGTCTCCTGACTAGCTAGGATTACAGGTGTGAGCCACTGGTGCTCAACTTTTTAATACTATTTTAAACCAAGATCTGGGGGAAATTAATTTTTCTCTTCCAATCCAGTTTTCCACCACTAAGCTTCTTTGGCCCTGTATTCTGTCACCAGTGTTACTTTTCCTAATAACTAGATTTTCTAGTGGCTGGGACAGGAACACTGTCTTTACGAAACAAATCATTGTGGACTCTTCTTCTGGGGGCACGAGTTTGATAGCACATTATTGCTCTCCAGAGCAAGACAGGAGATGCTGACAGTGAATATGGGAAGTGGCCCCCCATAGCAGCTCCAGTCTATTAAGGGGCTTCTTTGCTTTGATCTGTGCAGTCAGCCACTTTCTCACTGATGTTAACAGAACACAGGCAATTCAAGCCATTGGCTTATTAAATTGCTTTTGATGGCAACCATGGGTGACTGTGGGACTGTCTCATGGCAGGGTAGAGCTGCTAAAGTGTCAGTGCTTTTAACAGAAAACACAACAATTTCCTGTCCCTGAGAAGCCATCTGAATGCTTTGTACGCGTCACAAGGAAGGAGAGGATGTGTGCGAGATAAACCCAGACTTGCTGCTGGGTGTCAAGGACTGTCACCAGATAGCCCTTTGCCCCTGCAAATGTGAGTCCCAGGATGACAGAGTTTCTTTTCCTCTGCTTTCTATTTTTTCCTTTTGGGTGAACTTGTCTTTTTTCTAATGGTGAAAAATCTTAAGTATATACAAAAAGTAAAGCAGGGGCTGGGAAGGTGGCTCAGTGGTAGAGCGCTTGCCTTGCATGCCTGAGGCCCTGGGTTCGATTCCTCAGCACCACATAAGCAAAAAGAAAAAAGCCGGAAGTGGCGCTGTGATAGAGCGCTAGCCTTGAGCTGAAGAGCTGAGGGATAGAGCCCAGGCCCAGAGTTTAGGCCCCATGACCGGACCCCCCCCAAAACAAAACAAAACAAAAACAAAACAAAAAGTTAAAGCAATAATGAACATCCAGTTGCAATAATAACCAACATTTGTTGATCTTATTTCATTTACATAACAACATGCATTTCTTTTTAAATTTTTATTTTATTTATTTATTTTTATTAATTATTTGTCTATATGTCTTTTTTTTTTTGGGTCCAGTTGTGAGGCCTCAACTCTGGGCCTTCCCAGCCCCTCTATATGTCTTTTTTGTTGTTGTTGTTGGTTGTGGGGCCTGAACTCTGGGCCTGGGTGCTGTCCCTGAGCTCTTCAGCTCAAGATTAGTAGTGCTCTACCACTTGAGCCACAGCACCACTTCTGGCCTTTTCTGCTTATGTGGTGCTGAGGAATCGAACCCAGGGCCTCATGCATGCAAGGCAAGCACTCTACTACTAAGCTACCTTCCTAGCCCTATTTATTATATTTTATTGTTACTGTAAGGGTGATGTACACATGGGCTAATACACGAGTCAGGTAATGAGTAGAATTATTTTGAACTGTGTCTCCCCTTCCCTCATTCTCTCCCAGGTTTTCCCTCTGGTCCCCACCCACAAGATATATAGTTCATTTTCCAGTGTCTCTAATATGCATTTCTAAGAGACTTGTTTTTTACATAATCATGATGTCATTGTTACAACTATGAAAGTAAATAACAATCCTTTGTCTAATATTCTCTCCATATTTAAATTTCTTCAGTAGTTTCAGTCATTTATGTTGTTGTTGCTGGTTTGAGTCAGGATTCAAAAAAGCTCTACTCTGCACATTGCATTTGGTCATGCCATGTTTGTTTCCTTTCATCTCTAACAGCCTCCACACCCCATGTCATTTCTTCAAGAAACTCACTCATCTGTCTTACAGAAAGCCTGACATTTCGGTTGTATCTTTTTTTTTTTTTTGACTCTTGGTAGTATGGGGTATTGAACACAGGACCTCACATTTGCTAGGCAGGTGCTCTATTACTTGAGCCATGTTCCTAGTCATATTTTGCTTTAGTTATTTTTCAAGGGTCTAAAGTTTTTGCCTCACAGACTCCTGAATAGTTGGGATGACAGGTTGGCACTACCATGTGGCATTTTTAATTTTTCCTTTTTGGTAATACTAGGGGTTGAATTTAGGGCTTTGTATTTGCTAGGCATATCCCCAAGCCTTTTCTGCATTTGTTATTTCAAATACAATCTTGTTTTTGACCAGGGTCATCCTGGATCATGATTCTTCTCTTTGTTTCCCATGTAGCTGGGATGATAGTCAAGCACCACTGCACCCAGCTTTTTATTGGTTGAGATTGGGACTTGCAAACTTTTGCCTTGAGCTGGCCTTGAATCACCTTTCTCCAAATCTCCCCATCCTAAGCAGCTGGGATTACAAGCATGAGCCACTGTGTATGAATTGACTCGTTTTTCCTTTTCTTTTGGGTCAGTCTTAGGGCTTGAACTAAGGGAATAGGTGCTGCCTCTGAGCTTTTATGCTCAAGGCTAGTGCTCTACCACCTGAGCCACAGCTCTACTTCCATCTTTTTTGGTGGTTAATTAGAGGTAAGTTTCATGGACTTTCCTGCCTAGATTGGCTTTGAACTGTGATGCTCAGATCTTAGCCTCCTGAATAACTAGCATAATCCTAGCCGAGCCCCAACACCTAGCTCTCATGTTTTTCTTTCTTTTTCTTTTTTTTTTAGGTCTCAGACAGACCTTGAACTTGGTACCTGATGTTTTTGCTCACTGGCTAGTGTTCTATGAAATGAGCCATGCCATTAAACCCCTGTATTTGTCTTTAAAAACATCTACATACTTACCAGGGCACTTTGACCAACAATGTATCCACAAAAAAGAGCATCTCTGGTTACATCTTTTCTACTTACCTTAATCACAGTCTCTCAGTCACATATGTGATTTCAGGATCCTTTCACTGGTGAGAAGTGATGCAGATATCCTTTTTGTACCTTAGTTTCTCACTGTTTAGAGAAAGTCTGTCTCGATCAATGGTTCTTATTGTTAAACACAGATTATCCCTCCATTCCTAGCTTCTAATCCAAATTGAGCTGAGAACCCTATTTCTAGTGATTCCCAAGATGCCTGAGGACCACACTCAGAAGCCTTCCTTTTCCAGCTCTAAAAGTCTACTACTCCCTCAGCAAAACTATATTATCACACTCAAGAACAGATTTAATGCTCACTATGATCTATCACTACTGAAAATTTACTGTCTCTTTTTATGGTAAATACATGCATGTGACATAAAATTTCTCACTGGAACCATTTGTTTGGCATTAAGTACACTCACTAGAATACCCATCACCACTACCTACCTCCATAACCTTTGCATCTTCCTGAATCAACACTCTACTTCCATTAGTCATTCCCAGTCTCCCTAATCTAGATGGTTTATACAACTGGAATTAAAAAGTATTTGCTCTTTTGTGTTGGCTTATTTCATCTAGCACATCTTTAAGAGTCATCCATGTGACAGCATTTCAGAATTTCCTTCTTTTATGGCTGAATTATATCCCACTGTGTATAGACCACATGGATCTATCCTTCTATTGATACTTTGTTGGGCACCTGGGCTGCCTCTGTGTCAACACACCAATACATATGAATTGGTGATGGATACATAGGGGCTACTGATGGATACCTGGCTTGCCCCTGCATTTTGGACATGATGGATAATGTCATGATCGTGAGTGTACAAAGGCCTGGTTGAGTTCCTACTTCCGATTCTTTTGGACACATATACAGAAGAGAAATTGCTGTTTAACTTTCCGAGGAGCCATCATATTGTTTTCCATATGGAATGTCCTATTTCACATACTCCCCAGCAGTGTAAGATTCCAGTAACTCCACATCTTCACCAACATGTTTCATTTTCTGATTTTTAAGTAAGAACCATCTTAATGGCTGTGAAGTGGTATTTTGTGGCAATGTTTCTGATTTGTCTTTCTCTAATGATTAGTGATGTTGAGCTATCTCTTTATGTTTGTTGGACATTTATATATCATATTTTGTTTTAAACTTCCTTTTTTTCCCTCTTCGTGTTTGTGCCAGTATTGGGGCTTGAACTCAGGACTCTTACTCTTGCTTAGCTTTTGTGCTCAAGGCTCTATTGCTTGAGCCATACCTCCATTTCCAGAATTTTTCTGGTTAACTGTAGATAAAAGTCTCTCAGGTTTGTCTTCCCATGCTTTGAACTTCAATCCGCAGGTCTCAGCCTTCTGAGTGTAGGTGTGAGCTACCAACGTCTGGTTCCTTTTGCCCATATTAAATTTTTTTTAAAAGTTCACTGTATTTTGAAGTATACTTTAAGTTCTAAGCTTCTGGTAGGCAGAAGCCATATATATTTATTTACTTTTCTTGACCTCTTGATCTGACTACCTCAGACCCCTAAATGCTAAATTACAGGAGTACATCTGGCTGTTTTTTTAAGGAAAAAAAACCCCCAAAAGCTTAACAGAAGGTATTATTTGTTGAGTACAAATGATGGTTAACATTTTCAATCTTCTCTCTTTATACCTCCATACCTGGTGTCTCAGGTTGTCTGTGAAGCTGCTGGAAGGCAGGACCTGAGCTACAGAGGCTCTCCGAGATTCCCTCCTGGGACATTAATGCAATCACACAACTTACATGTGCTTTCTGCCAGGCCTTCCACAAACGAGGCAACATGTGATATTTTACTGATTAATGATCACTGAAGTTTCATACAATCTCTAAAAATAATAAATGTTTTATGTTGGTTTCTCCTTGAACATCTTTATGACAGAGATTCACCTGAGGATCAGATGAAGATACCAGCCTCAATGCTGCTGATGACCATATTAAAGGTTGGAGGTACCTCTTGGTGCCTCTGGAAAATGAAGGATATATAGATCATCTTAGACTCAGGAGTAATTAGTGAAGCGCTTGTTTTTGAAACATAGGAAGGATGCTTAATTTGATCATGTTTTTATAAAACCAAAGTAAAAATCCTCCCATCCAGAACCACAGAAAAAAAGTAAGTTCCTGTCTAGTTTTGTTTTAAATAATGAGATTCTAGAATTCAAAAATTGGATAGGTATTTATTGTTCCAGAAGGTACATTGCTTTTTATACATATTTCATAAATGATACAGGATTGTACACATGTTCAATATTTTGCTATTTGTAAGGACTTTTCTCCACATCCTCCCTCCCTTCCTCCCCCCGCCCCCAAAGGATCTGCTCATTGCACTGTGCTGTTTCTTCTTCAAATTCCTGTGCACAAACAGGATAATGGTTTAAAAATAATCGGCATGACAGAAATACCGAGGAGGGGGCTGGAGGACGGGAAGGAAGTGGGAGTCGGTGGGAGTGGGGACATGCATCCTTTCATTCCATCATGCCAGTGAAGGGGTGTGGGAGTGGCACAGTCCTGGCTGGCCTTCAACTCTACAAGGCACCTAGAGTCTGGGCTTGTCATTTCAAGTTTCTGTCACACACACTGATCCCGAAGGAGGAAGAAAAAGAAGCCTTTCCCCATGAGGAAGGATGAATCATGTGAAAGCAAAGAGCCAGTCGGCTTGGTGGAGGTCCGTGTGATCCCGTCATCCTGCCCCCAGAGCTCTTAAAAACAGGATGTGACACACAGATTCCTTTGACTCTCCAAGTGCAGATGCCATCTGGAAATCTGCTAGAAAACATTTTGATAGACTACAAGATGAATTCTTCTTTCTCTCAAGATAAGAAAAAACCAGGATGGAGAAGGTAGGCTAGAGGAAGCCATAGAAATGTATTCCTGTGTAAAGATAAGTGGCACCCTTGGAAATCCACACTCTCAGTTTATGGCCTGCAATGGGATGGGGATTCCTGAGGGATGGTGGCGGGGAAGTGTGTCCCTGCATTAGTGAAGCTTTCAGGCATGGCAGTGCCATCTGGGGGCCTGCAATGCTGTCACAAGCAGATAAACAGCAATGAAATCATTCTAGTTCTGAAGTGGTTACTGAGTCATGATTTTTAGCCAATTTGTAAACCTTACATCTTCCTGATTTTGTAATACAGCTTAATACTCACCCTCTGGTCTGAGTTGTGGAGGTAGAGGAGAGTATCAGTGGGATAGGCATGGAAAGAAGGAAGTCTCTCCTCCTCTGAAAGACTAATTCATTAAAAAATCAAAACAAGCCGGGCGCTGATGGCTCATGCCTGTAATCCTAGCTACTCAGTAGGCTGAGATCTGAGGATCATGGTTCAAAGCCAGCCCAGGCAGGAAAGTCTGTGAGACTCTTATCTCCAATAAACCACTAGAAAACCGGAAGTGGCGCTGTGGCTCAAGCAGTAGAGTGCTCGCCTTGAGCTGAAGAGCACAGGGACAGCACCCAAGCCCAGCGTTCAAGCCCCACGACTGACAAAAACAAAACAAAAAACAAAACAACAACAAAAAACCCCAAAAAACTTCATGCAGTATTGCCAATGATTTCTAGATACTGATCTAGAGCATTGGGATATGCATACATCTTAGGAAGGTATTGGGGACAATCCAAGTATCAATAATCAAACAGTCATAAATTGGTTCCAATGATCATTTGGATAAAGTTAGTGCGACTGACAGGACAGAGGTTAGTAAAGGGGTTGTGGGATGGAGAGGAGGAAGAAATTCCTAGCAACTTTTTAGAGACTGAGCCCAACTAAAAAACAAATGTGAATTACATGGGCACAGACTCTGTTTGCCACCTACATTTATGAGAATTTCCTTTTCTGGAATATCATTTACTCCTATGTCAAAAAATAAGAAATGTTAAATTAAAAAACAATAGAGTTGAGTAGGGTGCTGGTGTGTGTGACTGTTTTACTGATTCTGTGAAGGAGATGCAGGTGAACAGCCCGGCATCATTTATTTTTAGTCTCAGCTATGTAACTGCATCATTTCATTCAGAGACTGAGGTGCTTGATTAAGACAGGGTTCACTAAGCCCTTGGAGCTTACATTCCACAATGCCTGGTGCTCTCTTTCCCAAGATCCCTTTTGTATTTGTTTTATAATTAAAGGTAAAAACCCTCTACTCTCACATGGCTCCCAGGGTCCACCTGCAATGCTTTAATTAAAAAGGCGAGAGTTATAAACAGGCGTTCTTTCCACCGGGATCCATAGGCTCTTTGCAATCAGTCTTTCTCACCAATCTGTCGGAGGGGCAGATGCACTTGTAATGGGTCTCTCAGTCTCTTAAGGTCCATTTCTGCCTAAAATAGAAACAGAAGGTTAGGAAAGTGGCCAGTAAAGCTTTCAGTGACACTATTGCATGCTGAGAAAAGAAGCTGTCTGTCCTCTTTTCACTGAGTCAAAGATAATCTCAGTTACTTTTGAGAATCAGGACACAAAGGGCTGTAACCATGGCTGGAGACAACAAAGCCTCTAGGAAAGTGGTGCTATCTACTATTCACTATGCTAGCCACTATCCCAGGGGAAGGACTCCAGGATGTGCGAGTGTGGGGATCTTCTGAGTCTCACACACTGGTAACATTTCTTCAGTGAGAAGCCTCATCACAGCCTTTGAGGGAATCACACATTTAACTCATTTTAGATTGTATCCAATATCACTTTAAAATTTCCATTTAGTGAATGAGTTTTAATAGAAGGTTGTCTAGTGAACTATGGCCCTTTTAGACTCTCCCATGTGCTTGGGCCTTGCCCTGGGTTTGCAGCTGGAGAGGAGCTGAAGTAGCTACACTTTACAGCTCTGGAGATGATTCTGACCAGCACTCTCTCCAGCTGAGAACTATACTTACAGCAGAAGACAAAGTACATGAAGACCATGTGGACAGATGGATTGAGCCTATTAAAAGCCCAAACTCATCACCAGCAAGGGATGAAAAAGACAGAGAAGGTGTAGAGAGAGCAAGTAGGCATTAATGAGGATGGAAAGGCTTCTTGCACTTCTGAAAACCTTGAAGTCACAAAGGACTACGGAAAAAGATTGAGTATTTATTCATCAAAGCCACTCAGAAGATGGGAAGGCTCACCCAGAAACTTGAAAGAGGTAGAGCTAAAGAGGTAGCGGTAAGGTGTGTGTGTGTGTGTGTGTGTGTGTATACATACATACATGCACACATATACACACATACTTGAAACCTGCATTTTACTTCTGGTTCATTATTATCACACATTTCAGGTGAAAGGTCTTTGGGCAGTTATTGTAAAAAGATTTAAAAAAAAGAGAGAAAACTAGAAAATTCCAAAGAAACATAACGAAGGACAAAGTAGGTCTACAACCTTCAATGTGCTAATGCTAACAGGACAGAGAGGCCCCAGCATCTCTTTATCATCTTCTCTTCTAGAGAGGGCTGACTGCCAAAATTGGCATTTTTAATAACTAAAGGAAAACGTATACAGGAAAAAGGAGGTTGGATCATTCTTTACCCATAAGAAGAATTGTGGCGATAGATAATAATGACATTATTCACCACGGGGCTGAGATTCGCTTTAATTTTTTACAAAACTTACCTGAGCAATTGCATCCTTGAGTTGGTTGTATTTCTCTAGGTCAAAACGTGATTTTTTGGCTCCTTTATGGAAAAATAGTAAGTACTGTCTGTCTCTGGCTTCTGGATAAACATATTCCTACACAAATAAGGAAGAAATTATCTTGTTAGTTTTTGCATAATATCCTCACAACATAAGGCTTTTACTATCTGTTGCTTGTGTGTCACATATATGCACACACAAAGACATACTGGGATGGGCATGGTGCTTATATGCCTGTAATCCTAATTACTCAGGAAAGCAGAGATAGGGAGGACTGTAGATGTAGGCCAGCACAAGCCAAAAGTTAGCAAGACTCCATCTCAACATCTCAAGTGATATGCTGGGTATAAAGGGTGCATGCCTGTAACCCCAATACAAAAAGGCAATAGGTAGGAGAACTGCAGTCCAAGGAAAGCCCTGAGCAAAACACGAGACCTATCTGAAAAATAACAAGGAGGAAGGGCTGGGAGGAATGGCAGAACACCTGCCGGCAAATGCAAGGTACTGAGTTTAAGCCCCAATACTGAAAAAAAGAAACAAGTAAAAGGCAGCCTGACATGTGTTGTGTTAAATATTTAATTACTTCTTAAATTAGTTTTGTGTTTTGAGACAATTTCTGGCTATATGACCTAGCTGGCCTTAAACTTCCGGGCTCAAGAGATCCTCCAGCTTTAGTCTTCTGAGAAGCCGGTCCCGGGGCTTCAGCTAGGGTCTGGGTATTAACCGAGGTTTTTGCTCAAAGCTAGTGCTCTACCACTTGAGTCACAGGTCTACTTCTGTTGTTGTTGTTGTTGTTTTTGTAGTTAATTGGAGATAAAAATCTCATAGACTTTCTGCTGGGGTTGTCTTCAAACTGTGATCCTCAGCTCTTAGCCTCTGGAGTTTCTAGGATTACAGGTATAAGCCACTAGCGCCTGGCTCATGTTTTGTGTAACACTTCCAACTTACCCTAATAACACTGATCTGATTATCTAGTATGCCACAATGAGAAGCAGAAGTAAATATTTAATCATCAATGATGAAAAACACTGCTAAGTGGTAGGTTGAAGGGTCTGTGGAAGACTTTTTTTTTGTGGGGCTTGAACTCAGAGATGGGGTACTGTCCCTGAAGCTCAAGGCTATTGCTCTACCACTTTGGGTTCTACTACAACACCAATTCTAGTTTTCTTTCTTTCTTTTTTTTTTTAATTGTGAAAATACCGTACAGAGGGCTTACAATTACATGGGCAAGGTAATGATTCTGGTTTTCAAGTCAATTGGAGATAAGAGTCTCATGGACTTTCCTGACAGAGTTGGCTTTGAACCGTGATCCTCAGGTCTTAGCCTCGTGAGTAGCTAGGATTATAGGTATGAGCTACCAGTACCTGGCCACTGTGGAAGACTTTTTAAAAAATGAGCAAAAAATTAAGGTCTGAATCAGTGACACTGGGCTGAAGAAACAATAAGTGGACTAAGAACTTGAGTTAGGGGCTGGGAAGGTGGCTCAGTGGTAGAGCGCTTGCCTTGCATGCATGAAGCCCTGGGTTCGATTCCCCAGCACCACATAAGCAAAAAGAAAAAAGCCGGAAGTGGCACTGTAGCTCAAGTGGTAGAGCGCTAGCCTTGAGCTGAAGAGCTGAGGGACAGCGCCCAGGCCCAGAGTTCAGACCCCACGACCGGACCCAAAAAAAGAACTTGAGTTAAAGTCCTCTGCCATCATTTTAATTGCAACCAGGTTAATTACCTCTCTTTGCATAGGGTGTATATGTAAATTAAACTTATGCAAATATATACCATGTTCTATTTTTGGGGAAGTAAGCATTATGTAGCCATTATGTAGCCATTATGTGCTAAAAAAACTGTCATGATTTGACAATTAGGAGAGATACAGAGAGCTTGGATATGAGACTCAGACAGGGGGAGAGTGAAAACACAGTGAACACAAAAACCTAAACTGCAATAAGGACAAGGAGCAGAGCATATGGGGCTGCTCCTATCAGGAGGATGCACCCCTTCTCTGAGTTTGAAGCCATTAGTGTAAACATAGATTCAGATATGGCTAAGCTAACAAGGTTTGGAATTAGAAAGCTTCCATCTGTGTGTTAACTTCAATTTTCTGTATGTAGGAGGGAAGGTTAAGAGTAAGCTAGAGAGCATCATGCACATTCTTCAAGTAACAGCTGTGAGGTTAGGAGAGAGGGAAATAAAATTAGAAACACAGCAGGGGCCTTTCTACACTATGACATGATTTTCCTCTAGCAATGTCCCATAGGCTGGAAAGTCTGTCCATAGTTCTGGTAGAAAAACAAGGGGGCAGAAGCCGTACAAGAGGAAGGAGAGAATGGCTACAGGTCTAAGTTAGATAGGAAACAGTAAAGGAGATATGAGGTGGCAAAGTGAGGAGAAAGATATCAGTAGTCTAAAGTTCTGGGTGAGAACAAAAGAGAGAGGAGTGAAGAAAAAGGCCAGAAATTAAACAGTATGATTAGAAACCAGCACACAGGTTTACTTGTAAGTAAAATGCTTCTAGGACAGGAGATCCTTACAGCCCTTGAAGGAATAAAATGCATGGGCTAGGTTGTGGCATGGTATATTATATGCATATTGAAGTAACTCCTTCCCACATATCAGAAACTGCTATTCAGCTTTCAAGAAATGTTTGTTAAATTCAAGATTCCACTAGACTTTTTTTTCTGAGACAAAGTCTTATTGTATAGCCCAGGCTGGCCTTGAACTGATTTTCCTGCCTCAGTTCCTGGGTTCTGGGATTAGAGGCATATGTGATCACTTCCAGCTCTACTAGATTTTATTATTTCAAGGCTTTTGCCACCTTATAGAGGTATATTTGAAGTATACTAATGGGATATATTTAGAATGTTAGCAAATGTAGCATACTGTTATAACAACTTAGAAGAGTTTAAATGTGGTTGAATGTGCTTCATGGAGTTCATTACCATATCAGTTAGGTGAAACAATATTAAGTGCAAGAGACTACATTCTATTTGGCTGATGGTTTCCTGTTCATAGGAAGAGTAACTGAATTGTTTACTACTGCAATTTTGCAACTTGTCACTTGGGGGCAGCACCAACGTTCTGGGAATCACAGAAATAGAATATTTAACAAGTTGCACAGATAAAGTATTGCAGATCCAACCACATGATAAGAAGAAAAGAAGTGCTGACATTGTGTTCAAGTGTCATATTTGTGTTCATCTCTAGTTCCAGAAAACATTTATAAAATAGACCTTTTTTTTTTTGGTCGGTTTTGGGGTTTGAACTCTGGGCCTGAGTGCTGGAGATACATCAAAGTATATCTAGAGTTATAGTATATTTGGAAAGCTGACATTTATATGTTCAATTCATTCACATTTGAAGATAAAATGGAGTGAAACTGAATAGAACTTAAAACAGAATAAAACCAAATACTCAGCTTTAAAAGATTTTACAGTCTAGTAGAAGGGAAAAGGCATTGAACAACTAATTATAACACAGACTAACAGGAGATGAATGAAATGAAAGGCACAATGTATGTAGTAAATGAGAAGACAGAGAGATTGAAGTCAGGTAGGAACTGGTCAAAAGTTCATGAAAGATGTGTGCTAGTGGTCATGCCTGTAATCCCAGCTATTCAGGAAGCTGATTCTGAGGATCACAGTTAAGCCAGCCTGGGGAGACAAATCTGAAAGATTCTTATCTAACTAACCAGCAAAAAGCAGGAATTAGCAGTATGGCTCAAGTGCTGGAGTATCAGGTGTGAGCAGAAAAAGATGAATGAGAGTGCAGGGCCCCGAGTTCAAGACCCAGTACCAGTATGAAAGAAAAGCATTTAAGTAAAGAAGGTATGCAGAGATCAACAGGAAAAACTCCCAGTTCAAAGAAAGATGTGAAGTAAGGAATGAAATGAGGGAAACTCAGGGTACCTTGGGGGCAATACAGAAGATAACTTTGTTTGGAACAGAGATTTGGATGGAGATTTGAAAAGGACAGAGAAAGCAGTTATGGAATATACAGGCTAAGGAAGAGAAAAGAGAAATGGGATGATAGATATAACTATTCCAAGTTCCATTCACACGGACATGGGGGTGGATGCACTAGACTCTGGACAAGTACTGGAAGGACAGGAACAGTCTACTCTCTCTTCTCAATGGCATACATTTGAATGGCTAAATCACATATGTGCTTTAATTCTCTACATATAACTAGGTCCATAACCACTGATATAACAACAGAAAGAAACTATTTGGCTGGGGGCCAGTGGTTCCCAAGTAGTCCCAGCTACTTGGGAGGTAGAGATTGAAAGGATAATGGTTTAAGGCCAGTATGGGAAAAAAAAAATCACAACATCTCCATCTGAATTAATAGCTGGGTATGGTAGCAGATGCCTGTCATTCCAGCTATATAGGAGGCTGAGAGGGTCACAGTTTTAGATCTGCCTGGGCAAAAAAAAAAAAAAAAA